TCTTAATGGTACATAAATATTAAATTAATTTTAGTATTTTTCTAAATTAAGGAATATATATTTATTGATGTAAATTATTTTATATAAATTTATTTAGTTCTCTTTAGATAATTAGAAGTGTACTTTGATTTAGTTCGCTTTGGTTAACGATGTACTTAGTAGTAAAATTTTATCATGTATGTTAAATTTTACAATATACATTTTAAGTTGATTGAGTAAATATCCAAATAGAAATCCGAATCCGAGACATCCGTTTTCTATTCGTATTCGAAAATATCCTAATCCGTATTTGTATTTGAATTAAAATATGATAAAAAAAATCCGGATCTGATTCCATGGGAATCCGATCCGTTTCCATATCCATATTCGACAACATGGTACTACGCATTATTTACAGCCGCCGCAGCATGGCTGGCTGTAACTCCTTCTCACATATAGCCGCAGCAGCCGCCAGCCGGCTGTGTAGCGAACATGTAGATAAATAACTGCACCTGCACAGACACAGACAGACACAGACACAGCTAGCTGTTGCTTGTAGCGCCGTGGTGTAGCAGTGGAGTGTAACTTTCACTCGCCCACTCACTGAAAGTAGCTGGATCGGCTGCTCCCTGCTTAGAGCAAGTATTATGGAGCCAGCAAGGCCGGCGGGGAGCACAGCCACGTCAGAAAAATCACTGCTGGCGGAGAGAGAAAAGGAGAGAGAGTGGAGCGGGCGGCTAGCTAAACGTCGACTGAAAGCCGGCGGATGCGCGCGCATGCAGCTTCATTGGCTGCGCTACTGCTGTACTCACCGTTGGTTGGCTGCATGTGTTGTGTCAATGCTGCTGCTGCATTAAATGTTGTCCACGCTGGCGTTTATCTAGCCGGCAGCCGGTTGAACCATAATACTTGCTCTTATAATAGCCCCGGTGGCGCATGCATGATACAGTACTACACAATTAAGCTACTGCTGCCATTACATGCATGCATTTAACAGTGCATTAGCTGCAGGGCTCGAACTGGAATAGTACTACACATATTCCTACGTGGGATTAGCCTTACAGGCTGTTCGCTTGTGCTATTCAGCCGGCTTTAATCCGTACAAATCAGCGTTTCTCTCTTATAACAAACTAGCTGTACAAATTAACAGAAACCGATTTAATACCAGCTGAACAGAGCATTAGAGGGTAGTAGTAGATCGAAGTGCGTTGGTATAGTGAATTAACATCGGCAGGCAGCAACGCGGAGGAGCAGCAGCAACGGGCCAACGGCAGCATGCAAGGAGTAGGTCACTGTGATGGACCGATCATTAATCCCCTATCAATTGATTGGCTCTCGCACGAAACGGGAGGGTAGTAGCAGCAGCAGACTAGCGGTATGTGGTGGATTCTGCAAAGTTGGTGTGCCACTCATGAGACTCATGTGTGCGTACTGCGTAGGTATGCGAGACTATCGTTTGAGTTCCGGCAGGGGGATCGGAGAGGTCCGGGATCCCGGCCGGGAAGAGAAGAGAGAGCAGTGGAGATGTGTCGTGCATATGATTGCAGTTTCCAAGGCCAGGTTCTCTCGTCTCCTCTGTGGATCAGGAGAGGGATAAAACGTGTTTGTTGGACTGTTGGTTACAGTCTGACGTCGTGAGTTTTGGTAGCGACTGCCGTGTGCATCTGCCAGTCAGTCAGCTGAGCCTGAGTGAGACGGGTGAGTTGCATTGGCTGGAGTGTCGTGTCGACTGTCAACACCGAGGGAGCGAGGTTCCACTGACTAACTGACGATCGACATGCGTGCTTGCCGGCACTATCAAAGGCAACAACACGACGTCCAACTTGTATCTGAACCTGTCGGAGTGCTTTGACTTGTAGAGTAGAGCTGGACCTGTGGCCTGTGGGCCACATACTTACTATCTGTATCAGATGATGCACTGGAAATGATACTCGTCTCATGAGTCTATTCTTCCTTTTTTATAGGATCTGTCTACATGACATTCAGTTATTTTGGTCCTACCGTCAATTGAATTTTTCTCATACACTTACACCGTCTTCTAACTATATTTACACTATCTTATTACTATATTTACAATGATGTCTTCAGTGTAATTTATTAGACCGAGTGATGTAAGTTCGGAATAACAAATATATACTAAATTTTTCAAAAAAACATACAAATTATTTCCATGGATTCCAGACACAGAGAAATATATGTCAAATTATTCACAAATTTCAAAAAAAAACAAAATCTTCACAAAATTTCAAAATTCCGTGCCACGCTGTCGCCACCGACGCCGACACCGAGGAAGGCGTAGCGTCCGGCCTTGACTGGTACTCCGAGACATGGTACTACCACATCTGTTGCTGTTGCTGCTGGGAGTTGCTGCACTTGCTTCATCGTCATCGCCGACGAGGTCACAGCGGGGAGGCCGGCGCGCGGGAGAGAGAAGAGTGGAGATGTGTCGTGCATATGATTGCAGTTTCCAAGGCCAGGTTCTCTCGTCTCCTCTGTGGATCAGGAGAGGGATAAAACGTGTTTGTTGGACTGTTGGTTACAGTCTGACGTCGTGAGTTTTGGTAGCGACTGCCGTGTGCATCTGCCAGTCAGTCAGCTGAGCCTGAGTGAGACGGGTGAGTTGCATTGGCTGGAGTGTCGTGTCGACTGTCGACACCGAGGGAGCGAGGTTCCACTGACTAACTGACGATCGACATGCGTGCTTGCCGGCACTATCAAAGGCAACAACACGACGTCCAACTTGTATCTGAACCTGTCGGAGTGCTTTGACTTGTAGAGTAGAGCTGGACCTGTGGCCTGTGGGCCACATACTTACTATCTGTATCAGATGATGCACTGGAAATGATACTCGTCTCATGAGTCTATTCTTCCTTTTTTATAGGATATGTCTACGTGATATTCAGTTATTTTGGTCATACTGTCAATTAAATTTTTTTCGTACACTTACACCGTCTTCTAACTATATTTACACTATCTTATTACTATATTTACAATGATGTCTTCAGTGTAATTTATTAGACCGAGTGATGTAAGTTCGGAATAACACAAATATATACTAAATTTTTCAAAAAAACATACAAATTATTTCTATGGATTCTAGACACAGAGAAATATATGTCAAATTATTCACAAATTTCAAAAAAAAACAAAATCTTCACAAATTTTCGAAATTCCGTGCCACGCTGTCTCCACCGACGCCGACACCGAGGAAGGCGTAGCGTCCGGCCTTGGCTGGTACTCCGAGACATGGTACTGCCACATCTGTTGCTGTTGCTACTGCGTCGACATGAGTTGCTGCACTTGCTTCATCATCATCGCCGACGAGGTCACAACGGGGAGGCCGGCACGCGGGCCGTACCCCAGGTTGCACACGTACCGTGGCATCTGCAAGTCCACCCAGAGATGGGAAACGCGATCGATCGATCCATTGCTCGAAGGGCTCGAGGCGGATGGCGTTGCGGCATCCGGCGAATCGAGCGGCAGCTCTCGGGCCGGAGTCAAGATCCAACGCTGGAAATTTCGGTTGACAGTGGCAAGTAAATCATGCGGTTGACGTATGACGTTTCCGTTTGCTGTATATTACTCTAATACCCTAGTAGCAGTACGACCTCTCAAATACTACTATATATCAATCAAGTACTACTATCACCTGGAAAATGTGTGTAAAAAGAAAGAACCCGGGCCAATTTCCAGGTCCCGTCCTTTTCAGAGCGAGAAGCAAGGATCACCAAGTATGAGCTCGCGTCCACAGAGCAGCACAGCACGCAGGTGGTCGCTGCTTCCTTGCGCGATTGGATGGACATCGTTAGCCAATAGTCACCACAGGACGCACGCAAATCTACAGCGCTGGAAGGAGACGAGAGATTTACACGTCGGTTTTTTCTTCTCTTTGACCGGAGAAAGGAAAATTCAAAAGCTGTATCCCCTGGCAGTGGCAGTGGCAGTGGCAGTGGCAGTGGCACCACGACTGATCAGCAGCCCGCACCACACTAGCGCCACTTGGCTTGGCTGGGACGGCGCCATGCCTTAGCCTGACCGATCGGACGAGAACGAGACGAGGCGAGATTACAATTACTCCGCCACATGGCCGCTAATCAATGGCGGCTTAACCCTAGCTACCGTGCAGTAGTAGTGGTGGTACCGATACCCGCAGCCGCAGCGCGAATCAGGCCCGGCCTCGCCTCTGAAACCTCGGTGGATCCATCACAACTCCTGTTTCCGCGCGGGCCCGGCCCAAAAGCGCTCGTGCCTTTATATCCTCGCGCCGGCCAATCGATCGGCCACAGCACCACCGCCCACACGCAGACGCAGAAGCTTCTTCTTTCTTTCTGCTATACTAGGTGCTACGTGCTAGCAAGGCATCAAGGCCGACGATGGAAGCAGGGTCGGCGGCCGAGAACGGCGGCGCGGGCAAAGAAGGGTCCGGCAGCAGGTTCAGGCGGGTGTGCGTGTTCTGCGGGAGCAGCTCCGGCAAGCGGAGCAGCTACCGGGACGCCGCCGTCGAGCTCGGCAAGGAGCTGGTGAGTGAGCACAGAGCACCCGCACGCACGCCGTACCCCTGGCCCCTGCATCTGCATGGCATGGTGGTGTTCTGTTTGGTTCGTCGACCCGCCCCGACCTGGGCGTCGGTGCCTGACTGCCTGAACGTTGCACTTGCACAGGTGGCGAGGAAGGTGGATTTGGTGTACGGAGGGGGAAGCCTGGGGCTCATGGGGGAGGTCTCCGAGGCCGTGCACAAGGGCGGCGGCCATGTCATTGGGTCAGTCGCCTCTCTTGTCCGGCCGTTCACCGCCTCACCAAATTTCTGTGTCTCGCGATCATCCATCTGACTGACTGCTTTTGTTTATTGCTGCTGCAGCGTCATACCCACCACTCTCATGGGCAAGGAGGTGAGACGAAAACAGAGACACACGCACGGCACGCGCGCGCGCGAGGGGCAGAGGCAGACGCAGCAGGTTCTTGGCCCGCCCCGCAGGCCGCAGCTCATCTCTGTCTAACTGTGGCCGCGTGCGTGCCTGCAGATCACCGGGGAGACGGTGGGCGAGGTGCGGGCCGTGGCCGGGATGCACCAGCGCAAGGCGGAGATGGCGCGCAACTCCGACGCCTTCATCGCGCTCCCGGGTACACCTGCCCTGCCTGCCTGTTCGATCACCTTCGGTCCCTCGACTGCACACCAATCTAGCGACCAGCATCATATCATTGAGCCGGCCGAGCCATGGTTTGTTGGCTTGTTGCAGGCGGGTACGGGACGCTGGACGAGCTCCTGGAGGTGATCGCGTGGGCGCAGCTCGGCATCCACAGCAAGCCGGTGAGCGCAGACGACGATACGATACCTGGCACCCACACACCCACACGGGCACACCCTGTCGTGGATGGACACACGGAGGCAATGCAACTGTACACTGCATGCCTCTGCACGCCAAGGGCATGGACACACATGCACTGACAACTACTACTCCCACAACACAACTGTGTCTGTATGTGGCGCAGGTGGGCCTGCTGAACGTGGACGGGTACTACGACTTCCTGCTGGCGTTCATCGACAAGGCGGTGGACGACGGGTTCATCAAGCCCTCCCAGCGCCACATCTTCGTCAGCGCCCCCGACGCCAGGGAACTCGTCCAGAAGCTGGAGGTACGTTGGTAAACACTCGGCTCGCTACAGTGACTAGTGACCCATCACCCGTGCGTCCGGCCGCTTGCACGCTCTCTCCCGGGTCCCGGCCTACGCACGCGCATGGGTTGGGGGCGCATCTCATCATCCAAAGCCGCGCGGTCGTCCTGGCGGCCTCCTGGTTGGTTGAAGCCAGTGGGTGCGTGCGTGCGTGCGTGCGTGGCGGCAGCGCGCCTCCTCGCCTGCCCGTCTGCCGCGGTGCCGCGCCCGGGACTCGCTGGTGGTCGTCCTTGATGGATGATGACTTCCTTGATGGATGATGACTTGGTCAGGCCTGTGTCCTGGCACGTACACGTACACGCACGCACGACCTCTTTTTTTGTCTGGTCGTCATCCAAACACAGCTACCCACAGCCCACAGGCGGAGGCGGGCAGGCGGCAGTGTCACGCTCACGCTCGCCTGCCTTTGCGCCGGCCCTGCCTGCCTGCGCTCGGCTCCCCTGCACGCACGCTCCCAAAAGCGTCCAGATTCTCTCTGGTAGGAGTGGTGGTACAGCTGCTGAATTGAAACAGTCTTAAGCAAGGACCGGCCGGTATATATCTATAGTAGCTTATACTATTATATTATTATATTATATACAAAGATAGTAGCACTACTCGTAATAACTTTGGTGTGTGTACATGTGGCGCCTCTCCTACTGAAACCAAGCGTGCCAGGTGTAGCCAGAAGTTACTACGTGTGATAACATGCCCGTCCATGCATGATGCGTTTCTGACCGTCCGTGGAAACCAAAATGTACATGCATGCAGGAGTACGAGGCCGTGCAGGACGAGGACCCGGCGACGCCCAAGCTGCGGTGGGAGATCGAGCAGGCCGGCTACAACGCCTCGCTCCTGGCCGAGATCGCCCACTGATCGGCCGCCCGGCCGATCGATCCCTATCTCAGTGGCTCTCGCTCCACCCATCGCCTGCCGGCCACCACCGCCTATATCCACCCATCCATGCGATCATCCCGCGCGTCAGCAGCAACATATGATGTATTTCTCTCCTTAGCTAGCTAGCCTGGGCATGCAACAAACAAGTTTGACCGCAAAAGCGGGGCGCCGCCGAGCAAAACGCATGTTCTGCTCCTAGCCTGCAGCGGCTTGGTTGTCTGTCCTGCTACATGTATTCTTCTCCTAGCCACGTATTCGTACTAGTTTTCCTAAGCTAGGTACCCTGCAGATCACGTGTTGTTTACTACCCAGTAGCAACTGTAGTAGTACTAGTTAGTTGTCCCGGCCCCTTATTAGTCCCTGATCATGTATTTCGGTGTAGTAGAGAAGTCATTGGTAATCTGGTAATGTAATTGACCACCAGCTAGTAGCTGCAAGATTTTTTTTTCGAACCGAATTACACAAATACAGACGTAGACGCTCAACACGCACATACACTCACCCCTATACTGCAAGATTATTTGATCCAGCACCTCTCTCACCTAATAGCGTATCTGCGTTTATCTTCCTCCGTTTGCTCGTCACGCGTGATGCGTTAGCAGTAATTTTGGCTAGCAAGATGCCCACGCAAATAGCCACACGGGTAGCTACTTTTTCTTTTTTATTATACATTTTTTCTTTTCTTATTACTTGGAAAAAATATTTGACTATTTCCAGCAAGCTACTGATCTCAGGCATGCCACAACAAAGCCCGTCTGTTTTTATGATCTCAACCCAAATTGAGTTTTATCACCTCTACAACAAGTTCACCCCTTTCATGTTGTTCTTCGTGGTGTCTAGATCGACCAGCCAGTTTGTTTTCCTTTCCTTTCGTGGGTGATGTAGCTTATTTCCTAGTTGCTTATATTTTGATCAATGGTACAATTGTAGTTAGTTTCCTGATGGAACCAATAACTTCAAATTATGAATTTTTTGGGACTGGACTACTCTTGGTTAAATCTATAGTGTTAGATAGTCATTCAAATCAATGGTGTATATTCTTTTTTTACAATTAATCTAGCTAGATTGTTAAATCATCATAAAATCCAAAGCTATATGTCGTTTTCCTTTTCCCGATTAACACGAGAACTTCAGTATGTACTTTTAGTATACCAATTGTAGGCTCTAAGCCACTAGTGTTGTGCCATCTAGGCATCTAGGGCACCTCGTGTAGCCATCATTAGGGAGCCCCTCCATCTTCCTCCTCCATGGCAAGGAGGTGGGGACTCAACCCTCATCTATAGTTGTTCTTTAGGTTTAGTCTAAATAAATCTAATGATGAAATCATCGCTAATGTTTAATTGAAAACTTGTTACCTACAATGACTTCAACAATAGCCACAAGATCGCTGTTGCCGAGATCAATTTCACCGGTAGGAGGTAATTTATGATTAGTTTCTGTAATAGCAAGGGTGCTTATGGACACTTTTCGTAGGGATACTAACTCCTGGTCATCGGTCTTATCATCAATGGCCGCAAGAAGAAAATCAGAAGTAAACTTGATGGATCAAGAGTCAGAGGTACTCAATATGCAACCTGTGGTGTGCCCGATGACTCAACTATTAATGTATTGGAGTTGGTTGGTGCATTCGTTATAAAGAGTGTACTATGGTTTCAATGTTCAATGATACTTTGTTCATCTACGACACCGACTGTCAGCCTGTTCGTTTGGCTGTGGCTTGTCGTAAACGATCGTAAATTTTTAGCCGGAACAGTATTTTTTCTCTCACACAAATCAGTCAGCAGTATTTTTTCACGAACCAGCAACGAAACGAACCAACCAACCGAACAGGCTGTGTATCGATCGAAGCCACTATGGAAAAAGATGATAGAATCAACGCTGACTGTATCCATCAAAGCCAAAGCCACTATAAAAAAACGATGATAGAATGACTGATAGAATATTATTATTTTTCAAGGTTTTTTATGTATAATTTGAAGATGTACCTTGCCCGAGTTTCAATATAATTTCCCCATTCCTTTAGAAGAAAAAGGTATACTACCCACATGTTCAAAGTAAAAAGCACTAAAGCGTACAGAATACCTGTACAGTCATCTAGCTGAATATCCGCACATATGTACCAAGGGAATATGTCAATGCAACACGTGTTAACACAGGTCGGTTACATACTTACATGTACAGGGACCCCAGCCCCTCCACGTACGCCTAGGGAAGCACGCCCAATTGTTCGGCTCGTACGTTTCAGAGCGGGATACGCACGTACTCCTAGCGTACAGGTACGTGCAGGTCGCAAAGTAGACGGGCCCGGACGAACACGCCACGTGTCTTTCTCCTGCTGTAGCACACGTCGGCTTATCCGGCATGCCTCTGTATAGTCTGTACGCTACGTACGCTCTCGTGACGGACGGGCGGGTGAGGGGTGTCCACGGTGCACTGGCCGCATGCCGCTTTTGACGTACGTACCTAGGAGTAGTGTACGTGAGGTGAGACGTGAGAGTGGAGTGGCCGGGCCGAGTGGACGGCTGCACTGCGACAGCTCAGCAGCGGTAGTGCGGACTGCGGAGTGCTGCCTGTGCCAGACCCAGACAGACCTTTTTTTTGTTTTTTGATCAACAGACCCAGACAGACCTGGCACGGCGCACTGGCGCAGGCGGTAGTTGGGTCATTGGGTGCACCTCCGTTTCCGTCAGCCCTGTCCCGCCGGCTGCCACAGACGACCACAGGCTGGCTGTTGCCTCATTGTTGCCGCTCGATGAGCACGTCGCACGCCATCTCCCTTTTCTACTTTGGCCTCCCGTCCCGGACACCACACCACCGGCCAGCGGAGTCCATGAAGCTTGCTCAAGCCCCCCGGTCCCGGATACCACTACATACACAACTTGAGCTGCACCTTACACTACGTGAAAAATAGTTTGTAGCAACGGAATAATTTTTTTAGAGGCGGCTGGTGTTGGAGTCGCCCCTACAGTGACATGCTCGGAAGCCCAGAGATCAGCCGCCCCTACAAATGGAACAGCAGGGGCGGCTGGTGATACGAACCGCCCCTACAAATGGGTCTGATTTATAGGGGCGGCTCACTCACCAGCCGCCCCCGGTGTTTTTATTTGTAGGGGCGGCTTAATCACCAGCCGTCCCTACAAATGCCTCTGGCTATATATTATAGAGCACAGTAAAAAAATATTCTCCAGCTTCTCTTCCCCTTCCCTCTCTCTCTCTCCTCTACGCTCTCTCCCCCTCCCGACGCGAGCAGCGGCCAAGGTGACGGCGGCTGGCGTGAGCGGGCCAGCGGACGCCGCAGCCGCCCTCCTCTTCCTCCACGCCTCTCCCCCTCGCCTCCCCCCTTGCGCCAGTTAGGGCGCGCGGCGACGGCCGCTCTCTCGCATCCTCTTTCTCCCTCCTCCTCTTGGTGACTGCAGCTTGATCTGCCGACCTGCTTGTAGGCTGTCTGCCGTTTGTCGGGTGGCCGGATCGGCATGCTCGTCGTCGGCCGGATCCGGTGGTGGCTGGTCCGGTCTCGCCTCCCCTCGGTTGTTGTTTCATGGCAGTGATGACCGGATCGCGGTCCTGCAAGCGCCTGTGGCAGCTCGATCCATGCGGTGGTGACCGGATCTCGAGGTCCTAGCGGCCGGATCCGTGGGATTGGCTGCCTGAGCCGCTGCGGGAGGGCGTCCGGTGCAGAGCCGGCTGGTTGGGCCGTTAGGGCATCTACCTCCTTTTCCCTAGCCCCTTCTCCTCACGTCCTCTTCCTTCACCGCCCTCCAGGTAAGGGATTGCTCTAGTTCCTAGTTCCGACTGATTTTGGCTGTTCCACCCCGTTCTCCTAGTCTCGATTTAACGCAAGGCGATTATGCATTTGTAAAAAGCACGCCCCATCCGTTCCGTTCCTCCTGAGTCGATCTGACGAGTTCCCTGTTGATCTGCATTCCATGGCTCTATTTTCTGTGATATCTGAAGATTCAAATATTTCTTCGACATTCAGTTAGTGCACATAGGTAGCAGATAGTGCACATAGGTTACTGACATTTCTGTTGCTACTATTTGTTCATTAAGAACAATATTTCCATATGATTCGCACCATTTATTACAAAGTGTATATAGTGGTCTGCGATAGTAGCTCTACATATGTGGATACGTTTGGTGAGCTAGATAAGCGATAGTATTTCTTTGTTATTGTACTAGATGACCGATAGCCTCGGCAAATTGTTTAGGAGCAGCTTTTAGATGGTAGGCTTGTTTCTAAGGCGAAGGCTCTAGAGATAAGGAGGAAAAAGAGGAAGATCCCAAGCTTGTGACAAGCAAAGTTGATAGAATTGCAACTATCTCAGATAATCTCATTAAATTTCATTAAGTTGGGGCAATGAGTCTATGCAAGTATAGTACTAATAAAGTTGTCCAAGAATTCTTGCTTGTAATCACAAGTAGTATTCATAGTGATAAATGCGAGGGGTTGCAAATAAGCGAATTCTTCCTATGAATATTCTCTCCGTCCATTAATCACAAGTAGTATACATAATGGCTCTTTTTCCCTACCAAATTCTGATCTGCTTTTTTTTTCTCTTGCGCTTCATTCAGTAAGGAGAGCATATAGTTCGAGTGATTAGCATGACACAAGCTACGCAGTTGCAAGCTAACCAGATTGGGAATATTATGGAGAAGTTGAGTATGTTTTTTCACAACTCCCAATTAGCAACTGTGTGCTTTATTGTTTGATTACTGATTGCATCATCACTTTAGTAAAAAAGCAATGTGCGGAGACTCGAACAATGTGCGTTATGTGGTTAAAATTAGTTCGTGCCTGTGTTTTGCCACCGATTTTGCCCTCGCTATCTCGTGTTATTGTTTCAAATCATCTATCGATGTTCTTTGCTTTGTCAAGCGCATATGGGATTCAAGTTCGCATGCTCGTGGCCCATTAACGTGAGGTTCTGAGTTTGGTCTTTGTGACTGTAATCATGTCTCTCACCATTTCAGGAAGGAGGCGGCCTATGTTCCTCTGTCTCTGTACAAGCAGCAGGTAAGATAACATTGACTCCAACTAAATATTTGTGTTCAGTAACTTGGATGCGGAACAATTCGGAAAGTATGTTCTTCCTACTGTTTTTTCTCAATGTGCTTTATTGTTGTGTGTGTACAACATTCCTAGTTTGGATTTCAAAGCAACCATGTGAATCTTGTATGAATGGGACCGTGCGTAAAATGTCCGTCAAAGAGGGCTATAAATGATATGCTAGTTGAAGCTATAGTTTCTTTTCTGATATGTTGATTGTTGCTGTTAACCAAGCGCAATAACTTTCTTGAACTTCGACTAAATGATATGCCTTACTGTGATTTTGAATGTGCTCAACGTGCTCTCAGGACCTAGAGACCCGAATCGGAAGAGCGGGCCAAATGACGACAAGTTCCCCATAGCACAACTTGTGCAGAGCCCAAGTATTATTCTCTTATGCATAGTTGCTATTATTTTCTCAAATATTGCACAAGTTCATATTCCAGCGATGATGATGATAATACTACCTTTTCTTGTTGCATAAAGCGTCAAAATGCAGTGGGGTTTTTGTCTTCCCTGGCCCTTGCTCCAAATTATTGTTTGGATATGAGAATTTGAGAATAAGTCACTTGATAAAATAGAGCTCCATCGGTGATGATCTCAATACCGTCATAATATTTTGATCCCACAAGATCAAGTGGACGGCATATCTATGCCATGTGTATTTCAGTTCTAAATTAGTGAAATTCGTGCTCGTATGCTTGCTAAGCGCTTAGCGGGTTGGGGCTTGCTATTCGGGGATTGCATATTTATTTCATATAAGTAGTATCATGCTAATTCAGGATAAGCCTACTCCTAATTCCTGAACAAACATTCTTTGATTAATATATGGTATGTATATGATTAGGTTATTCAGACTACATTCTTTGTTCAATGATTTACAAATTCTTGATGAAGAGCTAACAATTAAAGCAACAAATCCTTGTGCAGAGGTAACCATGAAAGCAAAAAGAGCAAGCACGAGATAACGGTTAAAGCAAGGAATTCTCGCGCAAAGCTAACTATTAAATCAAGCAGGAAGGCGAGGCTTCAACAAGTTCTTGTGCAGAGCTAACAGTTAGCAAGGAGCAAGGCTTCTTTAGTGTATCGTGTCTCCCCACCGAGCTGAGGTGCTCCTGCCTCCCCACCAAGCCGTCTACCAAGACATCTGATTGATGATGTGTTTTACAATTAATTTTCTTTCAATTCTATTTTACTCCACAAATTGCTTGTGCATGTAATATTGAATGGGTGTTCGATAATTAAAGTTAAATGAACTTTCGATTGTATTTAAATTATATCCATGAGAGTATTATATTAACTTGGGTACCATGAAGATCTACTTAGGTATTTGGTTTTTTCATCATTGTGTATTGGACTGTCGGCTAAAGCATGTACTTGAGTCACTTTGCAAGTATAGGTACCATGAATTTGAATTGTAAATTTAATTTTTTTTGTGAAAAAAAATGATTTGTAGGGCGGTTAGTATCTGTAGCCTTTACAAATCGATTTATAAAGGCGGCCGATAACACTAGCCGCCGCCGCAAATCGATTCTTGGGGCGGTTCTGAAACCGCCTACAAATACATGATTTGTAGAGACCCTTGCGTAGGGGCGGCTGGCCGAACCGCCCCTACAAATGTACTGTAGCCGTCCCTGGAAATGATATTTGACGTAGTGTTATGCTTACCCGCCATGCTGCTCCTGGCACCTGGCTGTACGTCGCACGACGACGGACGTGAGAGTGGACGGCTGCACTGCAGGGGCCCCCAGCTCCATCTCAGCGCTGAACTGAGCTCACCAGCGGTCGTGTGTGTGCTCCTCAGCACGCCCACTGACTAGTGACTGCTACCGGATAGTCCGGCAAAGGCGGCGCCAACAGCTAGGGACAGGTGTGTACAGATATGCGCCCTGGATTATATATATTTTTTAATATCATTGGATAAGAAGTCGGATCGCACCAGTCAGAGAGAACAGTAAAGTGTGGGTTTGGTTGCCAAACGAAGCTTGCATCATATATCCGGATGAAAGGACGCGGGATGGGTTTATTAGACGATAAAAAGGCGAAAAAACTATACAAAAATGCTTTTACATTTTAGGAGTTGAGGTTGTAAAAAAAAATATGGCATCCTTTTACATTTTGAATAATACCAAAGCTAAAAACTCCGGATCCGCCACCGCCACTGATCTCAGCCTCTCAGCGCGCGCGTGTGGTAGCGCTAGGCCGCTAGCTAGTGCACGCTGCGTGGGACGGGCGACGGCCCATACCTTATCGTGTCTGTTCCCTTTGCCGATCTCTGCAGGCTGGGCCTGCCTGGGACGGACGCGAGGGAGGTTGCCTGAAACAGGCGATCGAGGCACGGCCCGATCGGGATCGCCCTCGCGGCCGGGGCACCGTCTCTGGTCCACGAACATGGACCAGCTGGGATGCTGCATGCCCCGACGTCTATTATCTATCTCCCCGGAGAAGAGAATTATTGGCCCTCTGTTCGTAGGAGGCATGTGCGTGGGCGTGGCTATTCAGAATAAGCTCTCGCCTAGCTGCTAGTAGGGGGCCAAAGCCAAACGGATCAATCAAGCACCATAACGTGTCACGCCTCCATGGGGGAGCTGCGCGTTCGATCGCTCTGCTAGCTGGTACCACGCTATTGTCCTGTCCGGCTGCGTCGATCGATTGGCGGTGCTCCGATCCGCTGGGGGTGATTCCTGATGTCCCCGACCGGTCCTTTACTCCTTTTCATCCATCCAAGCTAGGACTTGGACTTCCATTAGGGCTTGTTCGTTTAGGGCTGGTTCTGGGTAGGAATCAATTTCTGGTGAGCACTTTCTATATAAATTACACAAGCAATCCTAGTTGGAATGATTCTAGGGCACGAATCCATGTCAACCGAACGCAGCCTTAGGCCCTGTTCGGTTCTCCTGGATTGCACCAGGAATTATTCCAATTGATCAATGCTTATATAAATTTGCAAAGCAATCCAGGTAGAATTAATTCCAGGCAATGCTTCCCTGCCAAACGAGCGAGCCCTTGAGCAGCAGCAGCGGTCAGTCAGTAACATATCTGAAGAGGCGGCATGCACTTTTGACAGATTGTACGAGCTAATAAGCGCATGCATGACGAACCTGAAAGACAGAATTGAACGTCCTCCGTTCGAATCCTGTAATGCAATGCATGGCCTGTACAAAATTTTGTTGAATATAAATACCAGAAGAAGAAGAAGATATACATATTTGCTACTTGTGAAGGAATGTAGGCACGATGTCAACCTAATAATCGAGGAAGCTCTGAAGATCAAGACCTGACGTGTGTTGTGTTGTTCTTCTGAAGAGACGAGCGCTTAAGTGGAATGAAATCAAGGGCCCTTTTGTTTGGGCTTTTCGGGAGTTTTTGAGCTGCAGCTTTTGAACGTTTCAAAAGCCGAAGAAGTTTCCGGAAAACTCATAATAGTGCATGCAAGTGGGCTTCTTCTTTGCAGCATATCTCATGAGGGCCTTGTAAACAATGCAAGAGAGTGCATGCAAGTGGGCTTCTTCTTTGTAGCGACTAGCGACCTTTCGTGCGGCCTATCTGTGTTCGGCCAGGCTAGTTTCAGAGCCCACGGCCAAATCCCAAATCAAAAGGGTTCTCCACGCCGGTCGTGCAACAATAATAACGCTACAGTTGAATTAGGTAACACAAATCAAACAATCAAAAGTTGATTAACAGGTAACCAGAAATTAATGTGACACTTTTCGCAATTCTAAGGCCAGTACAGTATAGCTCAATTGAATGCCCTCTGTAGCGCAGAGCTCCATACTGGATAGATGGATATATACATATATATAAAACTGTCTTTCTCACGTGAACCAAGGTAATAAATAGCAGCGGTAGCTGCCACAATAGCAGTAGCGGTCCATTGCCGCTACCGCTATGAGGTAGCACTCTAAACTCTGCATCTTGAAACTTTGCGGCCGCAATTCTGAGTAGCGGGGTGATATTGCGTCCGCAATAGCATGGAAGCAAATAACCCTAATCAGCCCACCCCACTATGACTCACACTCCCAAGTCAAACACTCACACATCGGCTATAGCCTCCAAGGTCCAGATTTAGGTGTTCTTTGAGTGTAATTACATGTCTATTTATACTCATTATTCATGATATATGTACTTAAAATTATGTGGGATTATCGGGTGCCGCTGTTGGAACTTATCGTCCGCAATATCGCCCGCTATCCGCAATTCGCTACCTCGACGCCAATCCACTGCCAACCCGCTATACGCTATTTATTACCTTGACGTGAACACATCATTTACAAACAAGAACCATATTGTGAAATTCTGATGTGGTTACACTGGCGGAACCAATTCCTGGTGGTGCAGGTTATTCGAATGACTAAATATGATTATAGGCTCTCAAATAAGTTGGACACTGACCTGCAAAAACTACGTTGCAGAGTCAATTATCATGCTCTGAGATGTACTGACCCGATACAAGAATTGGCTGAAAAGCTAATACAACGAATGCGAGAAAAGAGCAGATATTTTATTGCTCTTCACCTAAGGTTGCTTCATCCTGTAACATTAATTGAACCTTTTGTCAGTCTTCATTTATCATTTTGTTCAAATTTTACCTGTTTCATCTCACTCAGTAGCAAGTACATGAACGTAGACTACTTTGGACCTCTGATCTATCAATAGTGGGTGGTGCATATGTTCCTGGGCAGAAAACCTTATACTATTAATAATGATTAACCAAAGCTGTAGTCTGAATAATGACGATGATTTTTCACTTCTTTGGCCATTGAATTGTCTCAAACTTTTCTCTTAGAGCTTCTTTGTTTCACCATCTCCAGAATATTTCCTTCTGTTCTGTTTGTGTACTATAAGAAAATGAATTAATTGTTGAAATAAAATTGCTAAGATTGCTAGTTGGTTTCCCTTCTGCTCCTGCCGGTTCTCTGTGATCTTAAATAAAATGGCAATTTAGCAGAAAAGAATGAAAGATGGTTGGTTAAATATATAAAAAGTGGAAATGTATCTTATTACTTCCCCATTACTGTTCCGTACAACATTAGCTCGTTTTGTTTTCTTGAACAAGACATGATTGTTATTCTGATGGCAGATTTGAACCTGACATGCTCGCTTTTTCTGGGTGCTATTATGGTGGTGGAGAAAAGGAGAGGAGAGAATTAGCTGCAATTCGCAAACGATGGAGAACCTTGCATGTACGAGTTGTGTGATGTGTAGTCGTTACTCACTTACTGAGATAGAATTACCTTTTGCTAATCTTGTTACGTTTTCATATTCCAGATACGTGATCCGGAGAAAGGAAGAAGGCAAGGTAGGTGTCCACTAACTCCTGAGGAGGTAGGGTCGATGTTGAGGGCATTAGGCTACAGAAGTGATGTGCACATTTATGTTGCTTCTGGTGAGATATATGGAGGCGAAGATACTTTAGCATCCCTCAAAGCACTGTTTCCTAATTTCCATACAAAAGAAACGCTGTCAAGCCAAGAGGAGCTTGCTCCATTCCTGCAGTTCTCATCTCGCATGGCTGCAATCGATTTCATTGTCTGTGATGACAGTGATGCTTTTGTGGATAACAACATTGGTAACAAGGCCAAAATTCTGGCTGGGCAAAGGTAATGCATCTTTTGAAACTGTTCTTATGTTTATCTGCTGTTAACTCTCCCCCCCCTTTTTTTACTTATTGTAATCCAATCTTGTTCCAGATCATCTGTACTTGTGCTCTCTCCAGGAGATATTTTGGCCACAAGAGAACAATCCGGCCAAATGCTAAACAGCTCTATCCCTTATTCATGAAGAGGGGAAATATGTCTTGGGATGCATTTGCCTCACAGGTGCGAACAGTCCAGAAAGGATATATGGGAGAGCCCATGGAAATCACACTAGGAAGGGGTGAATTTCTTGCCAACCCTGCGGCCTGTATATGTGAAAAGACCGGCAGAAACTCAGTAGTAGTCAAGTCCATTTCTGGAAGTAGCCAGGAACCTGTAACTGACACCGGAATAAGGAAAGCCATTGGCATTGGTAGTGGTAGGCCGCCATATCCTGTTTATACTGACGAAGAGGCAGATGGATCTGATACAGAGGAAGATCCGGATAGCAGCGGGAGAGGAGAGGTGATTGACACTGAACCTGACGATGATTCTGTGATCAGACAAGAGGATCCTGAGCTAGAGGAGATCCTGTCGGATTAGTCAAGTTGTGCAGCTATTTCTTCCGGTAGAGCTATGCAAAATCTGACTTTGCATATACATGTGTTGTATGTGGCAGCAATTTTATGGTTTGGACATCTCCGAACTAGCTTAGATCTGCAGCCCCTGGTGTACATAGATTTTCTGGTGTGCAGCTGTCCATCCTCTTTCCCCTAGCTGAATGAGGGCATGATTTTCCCTCCTTTTCTTAACATCCTGCCATTGCTAATCGCTCATGGAAATGTGTATATCATGCTTAATTTTCTAAACTTTTTTTGTTGGTAAGCCAGATTTCTTGGCATCGTTTTTTACAGTTACTGTTGTGTTGTGCTGGACCTTGTTGACACATTGCAATCTAACATTGTCTAATCTTTGTCAGAAGAAAGTATTTGTCACTGACATCAGGGTTTTATTGATCGCATTTTGCTTGAATAGCAGAGACAACGTTTCGGTCTTTCTGCAATGTTGGGAAGTTGGCGTGATGCATGAATAATAATGTGATAAATGCATATTTTTTCGAATCACAGAACAAACATAGAAGATTACATATGTGCACACGCGCTCACAACACATGCACATAAGCTAACCCTTTGAGCATCTCCGACGACATATCTGAGGAAGCACCTATGTTAAGGAAATATGAGCGGGCAAGTCTCATCACAAGGAATCCAACAAGTTAAGCTACTTTCAATTTGCGTGTGGTAATGTATGTTTGTCAGCTTGTGTACGTGTCGTCCGATCCATGAACGAACTGTCCAATTTAAGGCCAGGCCTGGTCACCTGAAGGCTGAAGCATTTGCATAGACACTTCCACCACCTCTCCATCGTCTAGGACCAGGCCTGGCAAGCAGGGCTCGATCCAAATCCAATCCCCTCGGACAGGACCCGCGGTCAAAGATTGGATCCTGATGCCTCGTCGCCGCCCGTCACGTGCACATTCTCCAACTTCCAAGTGGTTATTGGGATTCTGGGAAGATAAGAGGTGGTAACTGTCTAACTGACTAACTGGTAGCCGGTAGGTGCAGTGCAAAGTGCGTCTCGGAGTAATCCCGATTTCGCAGTTTGTTTTGTGGTTTCTGATTTCTGAAAAGGGTAGGAGTACGTATTTGTTCGAAACGATGATGGGGGTAATGCAATGTGATAAACAGACCAGAGTTAGTAAAAATTTCCTCTGTAACTGTAACAGGTAGTATATATAATTAAATAAAAAAAATAAAAACAAGAGAGTTGCTTCTCCGATGCCGTTCACCACCTTGAGCATTGGACGGCCCATATGATATGGCCCGGAGTCTTTTTGCCCGACAAGCAGCTTCAATCCAGTTCCTGGGAGGACGTGTTGGCATAGCGTCGAGTGTGGGATCTCGCTTGTTTTTAAGGCCGCGTGTCCTGTCCTGATGATCCGCTGCAGCTTTGAAAACTGACGCAGCGCTATTGACCCCCAACCCCAACGGTTCCAGGGTTCAGGAGACATGGATGGCCGCCGCACTGGATTCTGTCTGGAACTGGACATGTTTCGCGGCAGTAGAGCTGGAGCACGGGCTCCGCAAAACCTCGGTGCGCAGCGGACAAAGTTCATGCAGAAAACAGTAGGATAACTGATGAAACTCATTTCATCTCGCTCGCTGCTCGTTGGCTCACATCATGTGATGGACTAGAGTCAGAAAACTCCAGGAACGAACGAACGCCAACACCGCTATCTCGTGAACTCACAAACCAACAAGACCGACGTCCTCTGGCAACTGGCATCACAGCGTACAATCACGCTGCCGATGCCGTGAGCATGGCGCCCTCTGGCCGCTTACCTTATAATCCACATTATTCAACTTGTTTTTTTTAGTCGGAATAGTATTTTTCTCTCGTAACGATTCAGCCAGAACAGTGTTTTTCAGCCAATTCAACCCATTTCAGCCAGCCGAGCGGGGCCTCTGTTCGACGGGAGCAGGCGCACGGACGTCGGACAAAGGGCGCCGCGCCAACTTCCGGCGCCCGGCCAAGGGACAGATGGGATCGCCGTCCCTTTGCTACTGGGCGGCTGGCTTTTCACCGCCAAGGAACGCAGATGCGAACCGCGTGTCGCATTGCCGGCTTGACGCTTCCGCCCACTCGGACTCGGGCACTCCGACAAACCACGCACCAGCACGGCAAGCACGCAGGTTTCCCCTGCACCGGCGTGGTGGACGATCGGTGATGGCTAAACGGCCACCAGATCCTCCGCGCGGTCGAAGCGATTCCCAGCAGGCAGCAGCGCACGCAGACACGCTCACGCCGAGCAGGCAAGCCTGAACCGTCTGCATGTCATGTCAAGCTACGATGCCACCGCGCACAGAGAATCCCCGCAAGCTGCTTAAGCCTGCAGGCGAGTGAGCCAGCGCCCACGCTTGTTCTGTCTTCTCCCTCAACCCCACCCCATCCACTCACTGTGCACACGCCACTAGGCTCACGCTGTCATCCCCACCGGTGCCTTTTACGCACGATCCGAGCCGTACAGGGAGCGGTGGACGGCATGGATCCCTCGTCAAGCTCAGCTTTGACCGCGCGGCAATGGAGAGAGAGACCACAAACCATGCCCACCGCCCAGCTCGCTGCTGGGCACTGCCCCCACCCTCCTCTACCTCCGCGCCAACGCGCCTCCCCAACTAAGGGCATGTTTAGATTCAAAAAATTTCACCCCAAAATGTCATATCGAATCTTGCGGCACATGCATAGAGTACTAAATGTAGACGAAAAAAAATTAATTGCACAGTTGGGTGAGAAATCGCGGGACGAAACTTTCGAACCTAATTAGTCCATAATTAGACACTAATTGCCAAATACAAACGAAAGTGCTACAGTAGCCAAACAGTACCAAAACCCAAAAAATTTTGGGAACTAAACGCGCCCTAATTCCTCCCTCGACAGCCCGTTCGTTTGGCCGGACTGGTTCGTCGCTGGTTCGTGAAGAAACACTGCTGGTTGATTTGTGTGAGAGAAAAATACTGTTCTGGCTAGAAATTTACGATCGCTTACAATCGTATAAGCTCAGCCGAACAGACGGCAAGTCTACACTTCGCATCGAATGCTTGACCTGGGTAGAGTATTAAATATACACTAAGAAATAATTAATTGTATAGATTACGACTACTTATGAGACGAATATTTTAAGACTAATTAGTTCATGATTTGACAAAAAATATTATAATAATATATGTATTAATAATAAATTAATTAGACTTAATAAATTTATCTCTCAGTTTACTAACGAATTCTATAATTTATTTTTTATTAATATTCATAACAACACCCGACGGACGCCTCAAAACCAAACTAAACAATGCCTTAAACGACCAAACCAGCCCAAAACCCCAACCCCACAACAGTACACACGGGCACACTAGCTTAAGCTAAACCTCGCCTCGCCATGGCAGCAATGGCGCCGCTCCCCGCCGCCTCCCTCCTGCTCTTCCTCTGCCTCCTCGCGGCGCCGTGCCCCGGGGCGCGTGCGGCACGGTTCGCGTGCAACGCCACGGCGCCGCGGGCGTCCACGTGCCAGGCGTTCATCTCCTACGCGCCGCCCAACGGGACGGCCACGCCCACGCTCGCCGCCGTGCGCGCGCTCTTCCAGCTCCGCTCCCACCGCGCGCTGCTGGCCGCCAACGGCCTCCCGCTCTCCACGCCGCCCACGGCGCCGGCCCCCGCGCCGCTGCGGGTCCGCCTGCCCTGCCTCTGCTCGGGCGGCGCCGGGGCCACGTTCCAGCGGCCCACGTACCGGGTCCGCGCCGGGGACACGCTCGACGCCGTCGCGCGGGGCGTCTTCGCGGGCCTCGTCACCTACCAGGACATCGCCGCCGCCAACAACGTCTCCGACCCCAACAGGGTCGCCGTCGGACAGCAGCTCTGGATCCCCGTGCCCTGCAGCTGCGACCCCGTGGCCGGCCAGCCCGTCGTGCACTTCACCTACGTCGTGCCCACCGGGACCTCCGTGGCCAGCATCGCGCAGGAGTTCAGCACCACGGAGGAGACGATTCTCGCGGTCAACAAGATGCCCGACGCCAAGGCCCTTATCGCCGGCCAGGTTCTTGACGTGCCACTCCGAGGTAGGCCTCCCTTTCTTTCTTTTTTCCCTAGCAGCTCGTGTGTTCTTGATCTATTCGACTAGTTTGGGTAGATTCCTTGAGCTTAAAAGAAAGTAGATCCACTTTCAATGATTTTGAGCTATACTATGTTACTGTTGCTGCTTACACATGGACCCTGAAAAGTTCTGAACCTCTTTGCATTTGCATCTTTATTGCTGGTAAAAGCTGTGATTAAACATAGACATGCTTTGCCGTTAGGCAAATGCAAAGTCTCTCTCTTTTTTGCTCCCCCATTGTACGCCTAAAAATGTTCAGGAGTTCTTTTCAGATTGTTTGCCTGAAAAGCTTGTGCTTTTGAATAGACAAAAAGGATGATAAAAAAAAACGACACTACTAGATGTTTCAGCATTTCTGCTCTCCGCTCCGAACTTCTGCTCGCAGTTTTCAAGTAGCTGCACAGAGCATGTCTTGAACATTAGCTTGTAGACCGAGTGTTTTTGTTCTTGATGACATACGTGTAGGTTACTATTTGTGTAAATGAATTAGTATCTCCAACAGAAGTACTGGAGTTGTTTGCTTCAGCAAAATATTTTTTGTTAGTCATAGTTCAGGATAAGGTAATTGATATGTATCTGGCTTTCTGAACGTAGAATTTGGATCTGACGTTCTGGGCATTGACATCTGTTATATCTCATAGGCTATATTTCAAGAGGATGTTAAACCTTTCTCTTTGGAATGAAGCTTGGACCAAATGTTTTTTTTTTTGAAACGAATCAGACAGGAGAGCTGCCGATTATATTGAAAAGAAGAAAACCCAGACTGGGTAATACAACAGAGCAACAAAGACCCCCTAAAGAGTCAAACAACAACAACCACCACAACAACAAAGAGACTACTAAAACAGAGAGAAAAAACTCAGGCCGGTTGGATTAGGACATCAACAGGAATTGCTACAATACTAGCTGAACTAGATTATGGTAGCAGAAAAGTACGATTCAGATAGTATTCTTTGTATACTTCACATCATTGGAAGTTCGTTCATGTCACTCACCTTGTTTGTTTGTCATTATCTTAGTCTTGCTATTGCTAATGCTAATGCAGTATTGTGCAGTTAAAATGCACTTCAGCCTTACATCCTGTTCATTTATCTTTCTAAGTGAACTGAATTTGTATCAAGATCAAGCTATCCTGTAATGAGCATTCAAGTCTTAATTGCTTCAGAAAGTGTAATGCTTCATATCATGTACATAAGATAGCATGCTCATTCAGTCATATGACATTTAGCCATTTACTCAGAGTTCCATTTTGGAGCTAATGGTTTAGTGTTTATATATGCAGCTTGTGGTTCTGCCATTAGCAGTACAGCCATTGATCGTAACCTTCTTGTGCCAAATGGAAGCTACGTCCTCACCGCCAACAACTGTGTCATGTGTGGCTGCAGCTCTAGCACCTGGCAGTGAGTGCTCGTCTATTGAAACTTGTAAATTCTGAATCAGCCTTTATAATCAAATTCTAACCTCATAATGCTCCATGGGGTTCAGGTTGGACTGCCAGCCAACACAGGGATTGAGCTCGTCGTTCTGCCCTGCTGCCAAGTGTGGAGACATGTTCCTCGGCAACACATCCTCCACCTCATCCTGCGAGAGCAGGACATGCTCCTACGCCGGGTACACCAACAGCACATCGTTCGCCATCCTCGCTAATGTCACCACCAGTAACGTGTGCAGCGGTGAGTAGTGCCCCGGTTCTGTTTGTAAGAGCCAATAGCCATCATGTTGTGTGCCTTTGGCATTGGCAGTGCTTTTCTAAGTTGCCGTTGACCCCTTCGTTGTTTTTGTCACTGTCAGCTGGGATGTCTCCAGTGGCGCAGCCGGCTCACTCCTCGGCGTTTCGGTTGGAGCGGGCGTGGTTGAGATGGACGGAGCTGGTTGTCTCTCTTCACGTCGTCTTGCTTTGTCTAGGCTATCTGCGGCAAGACTGAACGTTGTTGCCATGCGTATGTCGTTAGATTCTGGTCCTCCGATTCCTAGTTTGATGTTGTGAGTAATATCTGCAGTGTTTGCGCGACGTTGATCTGTAGCTGGTTGGATTTGTAAGTGCAGACCCTAGGGCAACACTTCTGTGTTAGAAGGTAGATCAGGAAACATTTGTACTTCGTCAAACTTTTGCAAAGATACTTTCTTCTGTTATGACCGTAGCCTTTTTCGTGTTCTATCTGGAGTATTGCTTGGCTCGAGACGTTCCAATGTATGGATTCAGCATCATTGCCTGTAATCTCAGCTAAAACGTCCTGAAAGAACAGCATACTGTACATAGATATAGAGCAGATATCTTTGTTCAAAAAAAGAAGATAGAGCAGATATCAGGGGCTAATTATTAGTTGCTAAAAATTAACCTTACGGGCCATTTGGATTCTTTCATTTGGAGGAATTGAAATCTACTTAATAAATTAGGCTATTGGCTTGAATTTGATATTTCATCACTTTTCAAAGTTCACGTATAAGTCCATCTCAAATTCATAGGGTGGGAGATGGAAATTGATTCTTGAGATCATCATTGTATGTTTCTACTTGGCAACTTATAACTCGCTTTTCGACTCGCTCCTCTACGGTAGAAATATGACACATAACTATCTCTCTCGTATAGCCAACAATAATACACAAATATAATCCATATTAGCTTAATTAATATATATCTAAATTATGATTATTAAAATAAATTTAATTTCAAGATCCAAACGAGGCTTTAGATGATTAATACAGAAGGGATAATATGTGGGATAAGAGTGAGTAAGCCCTTGGCTAGTTAGCACAACTAGCTAACAAGGGATAATACTTTATTGCTCGAGATTATACACGTCTCCAAAAGCTCCCTGAAACAATTCCCTCATAGTTTTTTAAGAGAGAAAGGAAAAACAATCATTCAACAGTTTTGTATCTTAATTCTCTAATAAATAATCACTTGGTAAATCTTTCTCTAAGAGCAAGTACAACAATTGGCTTGTAGCCAAGCTAATCAATATTTTTACTGATGTAGAAGAGAGAAGGAAGGAGAGAGAAGAGAGCTTAGCTCTCGTGCAAGCAACAAGCTTGGTACGGAAGCATAGACAGTAATGGGTCCCAATAGAGATGTATATGAGGAGTATTAGGAAATAGAATGGAAATATATAATAATAAAGAAATTTTGTAGACAAATAGAAGGCTAACTATTGTATAGCTATGCTTTTTACAGCTTTGACTTATAAATAAACACTTGACTCTATTATTGACCTTGCTATGATAACTCACATATGCGTGTGTGCATTTTGTGCCTCCATTTTGCGTGGGTTTTCCGTCCTCCAGATTTCTTCTATCCTTTCCGGTTTTCGAGTTTTAGACGCTAACCATAGAAAGCTGTTGGAAAAAAGACAAAAATAGACTATTTCATATTGTTAACTTGGCATATTCATTTATTTTCCAAGTGATTTTAAATAAGTTCTTGAGGTTGTCCCACTTAATTTTTAGCTACCTAATTTTAACACTGTCGTTCAAATTAGGCCCATCCATGGTCCAACGAAGGTGATACGAGGCCCATACGCCAGTCCATCCCGCGCGGCTGCCACTGTACCCCGTGGAAACCATAGGGAAAAGGCCTAAATTAATTTTAGTTTCACAATATATTTTAAAATCAAAATCTTCAATATCGTACGTGGGCCCATACACCAGTTGTAGTCCATTCCCGCACCTAAATTATTTTAGTTTCAAGTTATTTTTATAAAATTCAAAATCTTCAATATTGATCGGTATAATTCTAAAGGGTGTTTGATCCCAAAGCTAATAATTAGCCCATGTTTTTAATACAAATTAGAATGTGGGCTAATTCTAGACTAATAAGATCTAATGAGGGCTAATTTATGGTTACAGTCCATTAGATTAGCTCCTGTTTAATCCATTTTCACAAGATGAGCTAATTTTTAGCCCTGGGATTCGAACATGCCCTAAACCGAGACTCGAAAGACTATACCGTAGCACGACGCTGATGGTGGACCTACGTGCCATTGGCAACACAGTGTCACGATCATGGTCCACCGGTTGGAACGGCTGGAGCCCAGGTAGGGCCCTAGGCCCGCGAGACCTACATAGAAATGCTCAATTGATGTTTCAAATCCGTATTTGACACCCAAGCCAGCAAATTTTAAAATTAATGAAATCATTATAGACGTCTCGCTTTCAACGAATAATATTATTAAATTCTAAAATAAATCTAGAGAAATACGAGAACCTGCATAAATTCGAGTACTTAAAACAACTGAATAGGTTTCGCCGCAAGAAACTAAAAACTAGCTGAGTTACACTCATCTGGTTCTCGATTTTTTTTTATCATTGACTCTTTGTTGATCGTCTTAATATGATTTGAATGTTAATATAGTCAAGTGATATACAGCTTTAATACACATGCATGTTTCATTCTGACGATAACGAGACACAACTGCTGATCAATGGTATAAAAAATACAGAAGAAGATGATGAGCAGCAATTTTCACAACGCAGCAGTCGCAGCTGCAGCTCGTTTCGTTTGGAGCAATCAGCCGCCGGGCGTGTGACCGCACACGAGCGGCGCGCAACGCGGGCTCGGCTCCGGCTGGAAAGCCTGGAAACAGGCTGAACTGAAACCAAAACGCGAGGGAAAACACACACACACACACACACACACACGCCGCGGCCGCGTGCCCCCTGACCCGCCCCTGCTTGCTCCGGCCTCGCTGGTGCTATGCGCGCGCTCAGGCCGAGGTAGCCAGCCAGCCCAGCGCGTGCGTCGCGCACGGCCAAAACCCAGGGGCGCGCGGGCGGAGCCTCCACCAAAAAACCGCCGCCTCTCCGCCTCCACCTTCCCGTGCTCCCCCCCGCCTCGGCAAAGTAGGAGCCAAAACGGCAGCGACGCGCGCGCTGTCTCTTCCTCTTCGCAACACCACCCCGCCACCCCCTCGCTCGTTCGATCGCTCTGCGAGCTTATCCGACGCCGCGGTCACTTGAGACAGAGCCCCGATGGAGTTCGCCGCCGGCGCTGGGGTGGCCCCGCGCTTGCGCCTGCGGCAGCTGCCCGCCGGCCCCGGCCCCGTCCCCGGCCGCAACCGCTGGGTTAGGGTGGGCGGCGGAGCGATCGGCATCGGTTGGGCCCGCCGCGCGACCGCGCCGGAGCTCTCGCTGGCTCCCGCCGTCGCGAGACGGGCGGTCTCCGCGGCGGGAGGAGGCCACCTACTTCACGGCCGCGTCGGCGTCGTCGTTCGCTCAACCGGCGACGGCGGCGGTCGTGTGGGGTTCCGCGGCGAGGACGCCGAGGGTGATCGATCACACCCTGCGCGCGCGTCTCCGTCGGATGGCGCGAAGGGCGCGACTCCTGCGGGGTGAGTCCTTGACCGTGTCGATTCTACAGCAGGGCTGTTAATTTGTGTTTCGCCTCTAGCGCGGTGGCTCTTGGAGTGACACCTGATTTATTTTTGGCGCGTGTTCATTGCGTCCTCACTCCTCAGCAATTCAGTTCGGGATCATCCTGGAGGAATTAGGAAGGAGCTCATGAATCTGGCCGTACCGGCCATAGTTGGGCAAGCAATCGATCCTGTGGCGCAGTTACTGGAAACCGCATATGTTGGCCGCTTAGGTAAATTTCCCTTCCACTGTTCTCTTCAGTTGGGTCATTCATTCACTTCATAATACGATGCTTCAATTTAGTGATTAGTATGTGATGAAGACGAATTCATTATTTTCATTTTTCTATCTACTTTTGTTGTGGTTTGTCTGAAGTCTGACACACTGACCTCTCTAAATCTGGCAGGTCCTGTGGAGTTGGCTTCGGCTGCCGTTGGTATGTCAGTATTCAACATTATATCAAAGCTCTTCAACATACCCCTCCTAAGTATCACGACATCATTTGTGGCTGAAGATGTGTCAAAACATGACTCTTCACAATCTGCTTCGGGTACAGATGATTACTGACTCTTATGTGCTTAAGAAACATGCCTCATTATAGAATTCCCAAGCTAACTTTCTGTGCTGATACGCATAAGGAAATATATCTGGCAAGATTGGAAAAAGGAAGAGGCTTCCTTCAATTTCTTCTGCTTTACTCTTGGCAGCTGCAATTGGTGTCATTGAAGCCTTGGCTTTGATTTTGGGGTCTGGAATACTCCTCAACATTATGGGTGTCTCACATGTATGTTAAAATCTCATATCTTTGTATTAATGCTAGTATGCTACAAAAATGGGCATTCAGAAGAAGGAATAATTAAGTTTGACTCCCTTTGTCCCTGTATTAGATGCACTTACTACTTATCACTTATCAGAAACTATTTTTTATAGTAAAAGATTATAAGTGTAAAATCTTTGTGTTTGGAACTTAACTTACAGATTTGGATTGCAATGATAAAGTGATTAATCTTTTTTTCCTCAACATGCAGGATAACTGCATGTCATTGGCTCATTGCATTAAGAAGAAGAATGTTTGTTACAAACTGCTAGGTTTTCCCGATTACATTCATGCTTGTGGTTAAAGTAAAAACAACCACGGCCACTGCCTATGGATATCTAGCCTCTACTGGTCTCCAGGGACATCAAACCCTTGCTGTGCAACGATAAAATGATTAATTAATAATTGGATATGTTTCAGATTTTATTATTGATTTTAACTTTTCAACCTAATAACAAGTAGGACCCAGAAATAATTGTCTTTAACACCTCTGATGCCACTCATTTCCCTGTGGCTCCAAAAACTAGTGGTTTGGTAAGAAAATTCACTGCATCAAATACCACATTTCATGTCACTAGAGCCTTGATTCAGCCTTCGTTTTCTTTGGCAGGCATCATCTATGCATAATCCAGCAAGGCTATTTCTTTCTGTAAGAGCACTTGGTGCTCCTGCTGTTGTAGTTTCATTGGCTATCCAAGGTGTGTTTCGTGGACTAAAAGATACAAAAACACCTCTACTTTACAGTGGTAAGTCACGACACCTCGTAAATTCAGTGTTTGTATCTTCTAGGTTGTTTCATTGTCACTTCACTGACATGGATCCTAGATGGCAACGATGACCTGAATCATAAGCAATGCATTTCCTTTTGAGAGCCATGTACAATCTATGCTTTCCTTGATTCACAAATGGCCTGAGTTGCTTCAGAAAGTGTCAAGGGCAGCAATGCCCAAGGTAGGAGGACCTCGACTACGCAGGTCGTAGTCTTGGTCCGTGTTTGCCGGCAGGGTTATACCCCCACGCCGAGCTTCACGTCGACCGGGTTATTCCCCCTGGCCGCCGGCTTCAAGAGAGAGAGAGGAGATTAGATGGAAATAATCTTTGTTACCTCCAAAGGGTACAGCCGTACAGCATATATATGGCCAATGGCCTTACAGATGGAGAAGGATCTCCTTAATTGTAGGACTACCAAATAAAGTAAACTAAATAAGGTAAAGATAGCTACTTTCCCTCCTAGCCACTCGCCTGCTGCTCCTGCGCCCTTGACGCCCGCTCAGCCGCCCGGCGTACGTCGCGTGCCCTCCTACGCCTGCTGTACGTGCGGCCGTACATGACATCTCTCCCCTCCTCGAGAGGCAGCTCGTCCTCGAGCTGGAATGTGGGGAACTTGGTGCTGAAAGTGTCGATGTCTTCCCAAGTGGCGGAGGCAGGGGACTGGTCCTTCCACTGAATAAGCACCTGTCGTGTGCCACGAGCGATTCTAGTCTTGACGGCCTTCTCAGGCTCCAGGATGACAGCCCCATGGTGAAGCGGTGGCAGTGGTGGTGTAGCAGCGGGAGGCTCACCATGATACTTCTTGAGGACGCCCACGTGAAAGACGTCGTGGATACGGGCACGCGCCGGAAGCTCAAGGCGAACAGCGACCTCGTTGATGAGCTCCAGCACACGGTACGGCCCATAGAACCTGGGCTTCAACTTGCCGGCGCCGTCGGTGGGAAGAGAGGCCGGTGCCCGGTGGCGTAGTCGAAGCAACACCCACTCGCCCACCAGATACTTGACGTTGCGATGGCCCTGATCATAATACTTCTTCTGGACCGCCTGAGCCTGCTCAAGTCGATGGCGCACATCAGCGAGGAATTCTTCCCGTTCTTCCATGGTCCGTGCCACAGCAGCCACACGGGTGTCCCCCGGCTCATAGGACCGGATGGAGGGGGGATCGCGCCCGTAGACGATCCGAAATGGCGTGTCGCGGAGGGAGCTCTGGTAAGCGGTATTGAAGACGTACTCCGCCCATGGGAGCCACTGCAGCCACTGTTTCGGCCGATCACCGGTGAGACACCGCAGGTACATGATGATAACCCTGTTCGCCGACTCGGACTGTCCGTCCGACTGAGGGTGGAAAGCCGATGTCATGTGGAGGTTGGTCCCCATCAACCTCATGAGCTCCCGCCAGAACTTGGAGGTGAACACGACGTCGCGGTCGGACACCATAGATTGTGGCACACCATGGAGGCGGACAATCTCCCCGAAGAACGCCTGAGCCACGGACTCCGCCGAATACGGGTGCGCCAGCGGAATAAAATGGCAGTACTTGCTGAATCTGTCCACCACCGTCAATATGACAGACTTGCCCCGTACGCGAGGCAGGGCTTCGACGAAATCCAACGCCACATCCGTCCAGACGCCTTGCGGAATCGGCAGTGGAAGTAGGAGCCCAGCCGGATGGAGGTGTTCGGACTTATGGCGCTGGCAGGTAGAGCACTCCCGCACATAATCCTGGACCACCTGCTTCATATTAGGAAAATGAAAGTCACGGCGAAAGCGGTGCAGCGTTCGTTGGACCCCCTCGTGGCCCTCAGCGTGCACAGCGGCCAGCAGCTCCCGCAGCAGTGGTGAAGACGGCGGCAAATAGAGGCGGCCTGCATACTGGACCATCCCATCGACCACTGCCCAGGGTGCACGCCGAGTACCGGCCTGTATCTCGTTCTGGATGGCAGCAAGGGCGGGGTCGGTGAGCTGCGCTCGCCGGAGGCGGGAGAGAACGTCGAAGTGCGGGGCGGAGACGGCCAAAACAACCCCGTCGTCCGGCGTGTCGCGGCGGGAGAGAGCATCCGCCACCACATTGGTCGATCCGGGCTTGTACTCGACGGCGAAATCGAAGCCCAGGAGCTTGCCGACCCAATGATGTTGCGGGATCGTCGCGAGCCGCTGGTCCAGCAGGTACTTGAGGCTGTAATGGTCAGTTTTGACGACGAATCGACGGCCCCAAAGGTACGGCCTCCAGTGCCGGACTGCCAGGACAAGGCCGATAAGCTCCCTCTCATAGGCCGCCAGTGTCTGATGCCGGGGAGCGATAGCCCGGCTGAAGAACGCGATGGGATGGCCCTTCTGGACCAATACCGCGCCGAACCCGTGAGACGAAGCGTCGCACTCGACGACGAACGGCGTGGAGAAGTCCGGCATGGCGAGGACGGGGGCCGAGGTAACCGCGTCCTTGAGCGCTGCAAACGCCGCTGCGGCGCCCTCGCTCCACGAGAACCCATCCTTCTTCAGCAGCGCCGTGAGTGGAGCCGCCACCGTACCGTAGTGGTGGACAAACTTCCGGTAGTAGCCGGCCAGGCCCAGGAAGCCCCGCACCGCCCGTGCGGACCGAGGCAGGGGCCAGTCGCGGATGGCCTGGACTTTGGCCGGGTCCATGGCGACGCCCGCCGCGGAGATGACGTGGCCGAGGTAGCCGACCGACGCAGCGCCGAACGCACACTTGGTGCGCTTGAGGAACAGCTGATGACGCCGAAGCTCCTCGAGGACGATGCGGATGTGACGCAGATGATCGCTCCAGCTCTTACTGTAGATCAAAATGTCGTCAAAGAACACCAAAACAAAACGACGAAGAAACGGTCGCAGGACATCATTCATCAACGCCTGAAACGTCGCAGGGTGTTGCACAGCCCAAACGGCATCACCAGGAACTCGTACAGGCCGTCGTGGGTGCGGAAAGCCGTCATGTGGATGTCCTCCGGGTGCATCCGGACTTGGTGGTAGCCGGAGCGCAAGTCGAGCTTGGTGAAGAATTTGGCGCCATGTAGCTCGTCCAGCAGCTCGTCGACCACCGGGATGGGGAACGCATCCTTGACAATGAGCGCGTTCAGCGCTCTGTAGTCAACGCAGAAGCGCCACGAGCCATCCGGCTTCTTGACGAGGAGCACTGGAGAGGAGAACGCCGAGTCGCTGCGGCGGACAATGCCCTGCTCGATCATGGCGGCGCACTGCCGCTCGAGTTCGTCCTTGTGGGCCGCCGGGTACCGGTATGGCCGGACAGCCACCGGCAGCGCTCCTGGTTTGAGGACGATAGCGATGGTCACGGGCGCGCTTGGGTGGCAGTCCACGGGGCTCGGTGAAGACGTCGCCGAGGGAGTGCAGCAGTGCGTCGAGGAGCGGCTCCCGGGGCGGCTGGGGCTGGAGCACCTGTGCCGGTGCCGCTGTGACCGCGCGGATGGTCGCCCGGTCGGAGGAGGCGACGCCGGTCCAGCAGATGGCACGGCCCGCGCGCTGAAACTGCATGGTCCGTGCAGCGACGTCCCAAACGATGGGCCCGAGGGTGCCCAGCCACTGAGTGCCCAAGACGAGGTCGAAGCCCGCCAAGGGCATGACGAAGAGGTCGACGTGGAATGTCTCGCCATGGACCGTGACCGGCGCGTCGCGGAGGACCCCTGGGCAGACGATGCGCTCGCCGTTGGCCACGGTAGCGGTGAGACGTGGGCGCGGCTGAATGTGCAGCCCGGAACGGTGCGCCGCGCGTTCGCCGATAAAGTTGTGCGTGGAGCCCGTATCGAGGAGGGCGACCAGCACGGCCGACCCGAGGAGGGCGCGGACCTGTAGTGTGTCGAAGCCCGACACCCCGGCCACTGCATGCAGGGAGTAAACAGGGGCGTCTGCCTCCGGTTCAGCGGCGGCTGCTGCGTCGTCGTCCGTCTCCAGCTGAACGCCCTCGACGTAGAAGATGCGGCGGCAAGTGCGGTTATGACCGCGGGAATACTGTTCATCACAGTTAAAACACAGCCCGAGCCGGCGGCGTTCCTCCTGTTCGTCTTTGGACAGACGGCGGCCAGGTTGCCGCTCGCGCGCGCCTGGTGCAGCCGCCACCCGAGGTGCCGGTAGCGCGAGCAGCGGGGGCGCCTGGGGAGCAGGCAAGGCTAGTGCCTGGGGGGCTGGCAGCGCCGGCCGTGGTGCCGGGGCGGCCGGGAGCGCACGGGGCGCCGGCCTGGCTGGTGCTGCCGCCAGCCGATCGAGCTCCATCAATTCCACCTGCCTGGCGAGGCTCATTGCAGCGGCGAGCGTCCCCGGATTGTGGAGACGAACAGCGTGGCTCAATGGAGGAAGGAGACCGCCGGTGTAGAGTTGCACACGCTGCCCCTCGTCGAGGCGCCCGGCGCGGAAAAGGAGGCTCTGGAAGCGGTTGGAGTACTCCTCCACGGTGCCCGTACGTCGGCACTCTGTGAGCTCGAAGAGGGGCGCCGAGCGTAACGGCGGCCCGAAACGCAGATCCAGGAGGTCGCGGAAGCGCCCCCACGCCGGTGTGCCTTCGTCATCCTGGAGCTGGATGAACCACTCCTGTGCGACGCCCTCAAGGTTGTAGGACGCCATCCAGACGCGTTCCTCGGCCATGGTGCGCTGCTGACGAAAATAGGACTCACACTTGTTAATGAAAAGCCGTGGATCAGACTTGCCATCGAAACGAGGGAAGTCCATCTTCTGGAATTTGGGGGGCCGATCCGGTTCGCGATGAGGGTCCATGTGAACTCCACCGCCGTTGTTCGACGACGAGGCGGACTTCTCCTTCATGGAGGCCATCTCGTCCTTCATCTCCTGCATCTCAGTCCGGAAGGACTGCATCAGCGCCATGAGGTCAGCCATGGTTGGCTCCACCATGGTGTTGAAGTGGTTCGTGGGGGTGGGGGAGGCTGTGGTCGCTGGTGGTGGTTGGGGTGGATTGGCGGCGGCTGTGGTGGAGGCGGACGGCTGGGAAGACGAGGATCGTCGGCGTCGTGATACCAGGCTGTCAAGGGCAGCAATGCCCAAGGTAGGAGGACCTCGACTACGCAGGTCGTAGTCTTGGTCCGTGTTTGCCGGCAGGGTTATACCCCCACGCCGAGCTTCACGTCGACCGGGTTATTCCCCCTGGCCGCCGGCTTCAAGAGAGAGAGAGGAGATTAGATGGAAATAATCTTTGTTACCTCCAAAGGGTACAGCCGTACAGCATATATATGGCCAATGGCCTTACAGATGGAGAAGGATCTCCTTAATTGTAGGACTACCAAATAAAGTAAACTAAATAAGGTAAAGATAGCTACTTTCCCTCCTAGCCACTCGCCTGCTGCTCCTGCGCCCTTGACGCCCGCTCAGCCGCCCGGCGTACGTCGCGTGCCCTCCTACGCCTGCTGTACGTGCGGCCGTACATGACAGAAAGCTTACACAATCTCAAAATTATGTGGAATGCTGACAGAGTGCTGTTTGTCTTCTTGCTCTTTAATCTATCAGCGTATTGTGCATAATTGCTGAATTTTGAAATATGCCTTCAGGTTTGGGTAACATCTCAGCGGTGGTTCTGCTTCCTTTTTTTGTGTATTCCCTGAACTTTGGATTAACTGGAGCTGCACTTGCAACTATTGCTTCACAGTAGGTCTGGTATTGCATTCAATTATAAGTTCGTTGACATTCACACAAATCACATGAACTAGATTTCATATTATGTCTGACTTATCATTTCTAATGTTCTTATCTTGAATTATTCAGATATGTTGGTATGTTTCTACTTCTTTGGTCTTTAAGCAAGAGAGCAGTTCTATTACCACCAAAATTCAAAGACCTAGAGTTTATGGGGTACATAAAATCTGGTGAGTTGTAAATTATTGCTTGCACTATGTTAGCCAAGTTATCACGCTTAAGTCATTCCTTTCATTCACACATATACCACAGTTCTTGAGCATCTTGGTTCATTGGTACTTATACTTAGATGTGCAGAGTAGTTAATGGCTTCTTAGGCTCATTATACATTCACTAAAATGCCTTAAAACTCGTCAACATTTATTTGCAGTTCTAATATTGTGGGTTGCATGAATAGCTTACTCTACTAATATAGTTTCCCCTTGAATACAAGCATGAGTTCTTTTGAAACTTCTATAGGTGGCATGCTGTTAGGGAGAACCCTTTCAGTTCTGATAACAATGACTCTTGGGACTGCAATGGCTGCTCGGCAAGGCACAGTAGCTATGGCCGCTCATCAAATATGTCTGCAAGTTTGGCTGGCAGTATCATTACTTTCGGATGCATTGGCTGTTTCTGCTCAGGTGCATCTCTTATTATTTATATATTTTGTTAACACTGCCTATTTCCAAAAATATCACAATTACTTCTCAATTCACTTCGGTTTTCGTCCCTGGTTTCACCTTAAAAACTGGGTCAATTTTTCTTCTAATAATATATGCGGCAATGTGTTTGCGCTATTTCAAAAAAAATATTTCTCAATTCACTATGTGTTTCTCAAACTTGAGCAATCTCTATCTTTCTCAATGGTAACTACAACCTGATCTATGGAATTTAAAGTTCTGCACTAACAATGCAAGTGTTTAGGCATGTATGTAGTGGCTCGGACTTAAAAGTGCCACAAAAGGTTGTTTTTAGATTGGCCTTTTATGTAAAGCTTGTGATGGTCGAATTGCCTCCTTGCCTGCTCATTGTTTCCTGACCCTATGTACGATATACATACCTCTTGAACTGGGGCTGAGTCCACTGAATTTATTTGTTACGTACTTGATTTCAGGCACTGATTGCAAGTTCATTTGCTAAACTTGACTACGAAAAAGTGGAGGAGGTCACGTTCTATGTGTTAAAGGTTGCAACCTTAACTAAGTTATTTTACTGCTAATATGTACTCCCTCAATCTCAAATTGTAAGTCATTCCAAGAATCTTGGAGAGTCAAACTTTTTCAAGTTTGACTAAAATTATAGAGAGAAACACAAAGATTGATGACATCAAATAGGTATAATATGAAAATATAACTAATGAAGAATCTAATGATACTTACTTGGTATGATAAATATTATTATTTTGTTATATAAATTTGGTCAAACTTGAAAAACTTTGACTCTCCAAGATTCTTGGAATGACTTACAATTTGGGATGAAGGGAGTATAAGACTATAGTATAAATAATGTTGATCATGTTTTATTTGCCAGGCAGGAGTGTTCGTTGGTATCGCTTTGACACTTCTTCTGTTTGCCTCTTTTGGTAGGCTTGCAGAAGTATTCTCCAAAGATCCCATGGTTATAGAAATTGTGAAGGGTGGTGTTTTGGTATGTATCTGTTTTTATGATACTATTTGGTCCCTGTCAACACTCTATTTGCTCATTGCTTTTTTTTTGTGTGTGTTTTTGAAGTTTGTTAGTGCTAGCCAGCCTATCAATGCCCTCGCTTTTATCTTTGATGGACTCCATTTTGGTGTCTCAGACTTCTCGTACTCAGCTTCCTCCATGGTATGCACATAAAGTAACTTATGCTATTGATCATGTAACTACTACTGCATTTTCTGTTTGCAGTGTTTCCTTTCCTTTCTGCAGTGATTTATTAATATCCCTTGGATCGTCAGATGGTAGTTGGGGCAATATCCTCTTTGTTTTTGCTGTATGCTCCACAATTTTTCGGGCTTCCTGGTGTTTGGGCTGGCCTGGCTCTTTTCATGAGTTTGCGTATGACTGCTGGATTTTTGAGGTAACATTTGTCTCATTGACTTTTTGATACATGTTTTGGATGTCGTCAGTAGAAGATACCCTCTTAACCAAGTTTGACTTTTATTTGAAAAGTATGATTGTCTCTTCTGTAGCACTCCATAAAGGTTGGAAAATAGCAGAGTTTAATTCTCTCTTTGTTGAAAATGCAACATTTGCCATGAACAGAAGGTCCCCATGAACCGTTTAAACAGCTGCAAACATGAAATTCAGATCATCCTAAGAATATTATTTTTCGTAGATTGACCATCTTCTGTGCGTCCTGCATTGATGCAATAGATATTGGGCCCAGTTGATGACAACCAGTGATCAAACTATCAGATGCTTTGCTACAAAATTTGCATTATTCAATTGTGACATGTTGTCCTCCTTAATTTACAGATTGGGATGGAGAGCAGGGCCTTGGTGGTTTTTGCACAAAAAAGAACCCAAATACAAGTTAGTGAAAAATGCAGCATTTTTTAATGCTTATCATTGATTCATGTAATTAATGATAGTCAATTTCTTGTAATACTTGCATGTTGGGCCTACCAGATGGCCGCATGGTTGCTGACATATAATAAGGTGCTCAACTGTTGTATGCAGGCTGCAATGAAGAAAATGTTGATCTCTGGAGCTGATTAACCAAATGACGAGATTAGGATGGAGAATAGAAGTTATGAAAGGCACACTACAATGTCGAAACATATTTACTTTTATGTTGACTCCTGTGTATGTTTCAACCATTTGGTGGTTTTAGGACTTAGAATTTGAGAGTAAAGGTACATCAGACAAAGTTCACTTGTAGGTGTCACTTAGGCGATGAGCTAGTCGCAACTGAGACCTAGCCCCCTCCCCCTCCCCCTCCCCCTCCCCCACCGTCGGCGGCCACCCAGGCCGCCAGTCATCGTCGCTGGCGCCGCTGGTCCCCGCCCAGGGTGGCAAGGCTAGTACCAGAGGACCTCATTGGCCTCTGCTTCAACTGCCTCGGCGATGACCACGTCAAGGCGGACTGCAAGTTTTCGTCGCGCTGTCGCAGCTGTCGATGTGAGGGGCATCGTGCGCGCTTCTGCCCTAATGCCCTAGCCGTTGTCGGCTCCAAGAGGGGACGCTCGCCTGCTGTTGCTGGTGGTCGGCGCGGTGCGCCTCGCCGTCGGGCTTCTCTGGCGCATTGGCGGGCGGCCCGTGATGATACGGTTTCCGCTCGTTCCGCGTCGACTGGTCGGTCCCCCTCCGTTCCACGCTGCTATGCTCCGCCCAGTCCGGAGGCGGTCGGTCAGCCGGCTTCTGGTGCTGAGGTCGCTGGCAGCTCTGGGGGGTTTTCAGCCGCTGCCAACCACGACGTGGGGGAGCCGCCCGCCGCGGATTCGCCTGTGCTGGCGGGACCGACGGACGCCGCGCGGGCGAGCGGTGGGCAGTCTGTGCGACCGCGTCTTTAGCTCAGGCGCCATCGTCGCCCCACGATGGTTGAGCGCCCCGTCGTCGAGCTCGTCGTCCCCCGCTCGTTCGAGATCCAGGCTATCGAGGATGCTTTGTCTCTGGCATTGGTTGCCATGATTGGTGGCACCAAACTGCCGGTCACGCCAGCGATGGTCCGGGAACACCTCGGTTGTCGTTTCCTAATCGATGATGCGGATATGTCGGTACTACGACATGCACCGGAGGACTTCATCGTTCTGTTCAGTCGTAGGGAGGACCTTGAGCGGGTACTGCACGCGTCGTCGCCGGAGGGAGCGTCGCCGTTCTTACATGGCGTCGCTGGACGCGGCTTTCTCAGGCAACTGCGGCGGCGTTCACTTATAAGGTCCTCGTCGGTATCAAGGGTGTGCCTGCCCATGCACTGAGTGCGGAGGTGGCTCAGCAGCTCCTTGGGTCATCCTGCGCCCAGGTTGAGCTCGCCTCGTCTGACGTCGACGGAGTTGATGAAGACGACGCCTGCGAACTCTTTGGTGTGGCATGCTGCCTCCACCCGTTGCTCGTCCCTGAGCAGAAGTTGCTCGTCATCCCGGAGCCTTGGGAGCCGCATGTATAAATGTCCATGCAGCCCGAGGCACGGCGGCCCGATACGAAGCACGCAATTTTGGCCCGGACCAAGCACGGCATGACCCGATGGTCAGCTGGCCCGGCCTGAGGGAGCAGGCCGTGCCTGGGCCGCTGGTCAGGCCCGTGGGCTGGCATGGCACGGCTCGGCCTCCCCTCTCCACTCCTCCTCCCCTCCCTAAGGCCCAGTGCGGGCCACCGTCCCCGCCTCCCTCCTCATATATAAGCGCACGCCGCGGTGGCTCTCCCTCACACCCTGAACCCTAGCTCATTTCATTTCATGCCGCCGCGCCGCTCTCGTCTCGCCTCGCTCTCGCGGTCTCACCCTCGCAGTCTTAGCTCCGTCCTCCCCGACTCCGGTGAGGTGACCTCGACGATCCACTTGTCGCCGGCGAGCAGCTCTCTACTCCTCCTACCTAATCCCCTCCCTGCTCCCTCTCCACCTCTCCCTTCTCCCTATCCCTATCTCCCCTTTAGATCTTGATGATTATGTGAGTTCGTGTCCCCGTCTGCCCCTCCTCTGCCACTCGTCGTCCTTCTAACCGGTGTATCGTCTTCTCTAGGTGGCCCTCGTCTTCTCCGGCACCGGGCTCCGGTTACGTAGGTACAGGTACAACCCTAACCCTAACCCTAACCTTAACCCTAACCTTAACCCTAACCCTAACCCTAACCCTCCTCTTCTTCCATTGATGAATGATGATTGATCTATTCTGATATATTGTTTTCCTCCTCCATGTCTTTACGTAGGTCGGTAGTCGATGCGTCGTCCACTAGCTGTGGCATAGAGCGACCAAGGCGGCCCCACGCACCGTTGAGAAACGGTGCTGGAGAGCCCTCCGCGGTCGAGGGTTCCATGGCTGGTGTTGATGACGAGATCGTCTGGCCGCTCACCGGCAATGATGATCTCATCACGGTAGGCCTGGCACCTGAGGACGACGACGGCACCCAAGAGAACGCTGCTGCCTTGTTCGGTCTGGACGGCGGCGGTGGTGAAGGGATGACGGCGACTGGGACCCCGGTCTGCTCCAACGGCTCAACTCCATCTATTGCTGGTACTGGTACCTCTTCTGGACCTGGTGTTGGTAAGCGTAAATCTACTGTGTGGGCTAATTTTGATGAGATCTATGAGACTGTGAATGGTAGAAAAATCTACACTAAAGTTATATGTAAAATGTGTAAGCATACTTTGTTTGCTAGATCTAATGCTGGCACTGGGCACTTGAAGAGGCACTAGAAATCTTGTAGGCAGAAAACTGATCAAGCTGCTAAGGTTCAGTCTAGGCTTGCTTACAATATTGATGGTTCTATGCATAACTGGGACTATAAACCTGATGTTGCTAGATCTGGATTGTGTCGCTTGATTTGCCGTTAGGTATTGCTGAGAGGTTTATTTAGAGTCCTGGAATTACTTAAAGAGAGCACTGGTTGTGATTATACTTCATATTATGCTGATGTGAAAACTGAAATTTACAAGTTATTTAACAAATATGAGAGAAAATTTGGTGCATCTAGGAGTCAAAGGGTTGCACAGCCTGCAAGCCATACAGGTAAGAGAAAACAGGCATGGGGAAGAATCTTTGGAGGCCCTGGATCTGTTGTTGGTTCTTCCCCTGCCTGTGCCCCCACTTTATTTTCATCTGCTTCTACTGCTAATGAGCTCTCAGTTTATCTGGACAGTGACAATGTCACTGCATATGAGGATGATTTTAATTTACTTCTCTGGTGGCGTGACCACAAACTAACCTATCCAATCCTATCTATAATGGCTAGAGATATTATGTCTGTTACTGTTTCTACTGTCTCTTCAAAATCATGTTTTAGCTTGACTGGAAGGATAATTGAAGAGCGGCGACGCCGCCTGTTGCCTAAAACTATAGAGATGTTGGCCTGCATAAAGAATTGAGAGTTGGGAGAAAGCAGATTACAACATGCTGTTGACAACCAAGAGCTGGAGGACTCCTTCAAGAATCTGTACCTCGATGATGATGCAGATGGGGCTGCTGGTACTGCTAGTTCATCTGGGGCTGGGGCTGGTTCATCTGGGGCTGGTACATCTAGGGCTGCTGGTAATTAATCTATTATCTCCATTTTGTATATGTCATCTGTGACTGTGATAGTGTGACTTGGGACCTTTGAACAATGATGGAAGACTTATTAAGAGCTGTGTTGCACTCTTTTTCTCTTTCTAGGGTTTCTCACAAGGGTGAGTTTTACTTAGAAAGGTTTTTAATGAGGCAGCATTGCACAAACAACTCAGTTATTTTAATTCTCTTGTCTCCTTTGGTGGCTTTTGTTAGAAACTTAGAATTGAGAATCTGGGACTATGATCAGTTTATTACTTGTGAATGTGAAATACTTAAATGTGAATGAATTGTGAAATATGATTGTGAAAATAGAGAAGTGTTGGATGAGAGAAGCAATTTGAGGTGTTTTAATGGCACCGGACTGTGGGCTGGCACGGCTCACGGATTTGGCCGTGCTTACCAGGCCGGCACGGCTTGGATTTTGGCCCGTAGGGCCGTGCTTGCGCTGAAGGCCAGGCACGATACCTAGAGGGGCATGGCACGGGAGGCACGGCGTGCCGTGTCGGCCCATCCCCCTGCGAGCCGTGCTTGGCCTAGGCCCGGGCCTAGGCTGGCCCGTTGGCCACCTATAGTCGCATGAGCCGGGCATCTTGTTCCTTAGGGAGCATGAGATTATCCACACCGAACTACCAATCATGCACTATCTTGCCCGGATGCGTGTGGTTGAGTACCAGGACTGAGATGCTTCATCGAGTTCTTTGGATGATGATGGATTCCATGGTGCCAATGATT